GAAACGTGCTTTCAAAACACCAAAAGCATGCTCAATGACATTCCGAAGTTTAGCATGTCCATGGTTAAATTTTTCTTTATTGGTCAATGCACGTCTTTTACGAAAATCTCAAGCCAATACCTCACATTACGATAAGGGGCCATAAATCCTCGAGTGTGTGCATACGCGGCATCACAAAGATAATATTTGTTTGTAAAAAATGCAAAACACTAATCAATTTTGAAACGAAGATAAATTTTTTTATAAAAAAACAAAAAATTACCTGGTGGTGGAAACGGGAATGAAGCTTGTGGATCAGATACTGCTTCTGATAAAATTCTAGAGTCATGTGCTACCCCTTCCCACCCGGCCACAACAAATGTGAACATCATATTGAAGTCACAAATTGCCAATACATTTTGGTAGCAATCTCCCTTTCCCCTACTTCTATATAAGTCTTGTTTCTTAGCAGGGACAACAGCATGTATCAAAGTTCCATCAAGTGCACCAACCGCTCCTTTGAAAACCCGTCGTAGCCTCCTATTATGTCCTGGAATGTTTGGATTCAGATTAAAAGAATTGGTACTATAACATCTTGTGCGAAAAGCATCATTTTTTCGAACACTTCATAAAAAGATTTATAAATTGTTTGCTTCGAGTGTTGAAATCTCCGCTTTAATAATCACGCAACGTTGATTATGGCCGATCATCATAAAAAACATAGCCATCTTTTCCTCAACCGATACATGTTTGCTGTCCTTTAATAAGTAATGTGCTCTAAAATGAGCACATAGTCGTACAAATGAGTCGCGGGACATGCGTAACACTTCAACACATTGTAAACGATTACGATGTAATAACTCCAATGTGTATTCATGTCCCGTCATTTCCGAATCATTATCCCGCAATCGTTTCACACCCCTCTTCCAAAAATAATGGATGTATAGGTACATAAGAATTACAAGAAGTAACTTTGATCGTGATCCATTATGAACCTAAAAACAACAAAGTAGAACTTTAAAAAACATTAAATTAATCATATTTCAAGTAGCAAAAAAACGCTACATAAATCATATTTCAAGTAGCAAAAACACATTAGATAAAACATATTACATGTAGCAAAAACACATTAGATAAAACATATTCCAAGTAGCAAAATAACAAAAAATAGTTTCAACAAAGACAAAAAGACCTAACAAAATAGTTCAAATAGAAGCAAAAGGACCTAATATATAGTTTCAACACAATAAAAATCATCGGACAATCTTTCCGTCCTTCAAAACTCCTAAACTTGTACCCGTCATCTCAAGCCATCCTCGTAATATCTCGGGAACATCGGGAAAATGCATCCACATCTCTCTCATGTTCATAGTCCCACCAAAAATATGATATGCAACAAAGCGTAAAGGCTCTGTAGGGCCTAACTGTAGCACCTCTAATTTCTCTAAACATTGAGGAATTGTATACCCTTTAGTCAAACTTTGTAGAGCTTTTTTCATTTCAAATGCTAAATCGTCAGCAGTAACAGAAGTTCCATCCGGTGAAGAAGCAGACGGTGAGGTACTAGGAGCTTTAGGAGTTGAGGGTTTAGCCCTTTTGTTGGGGTAACCGGATGGTGAAGCAGCAGAAGGTGAAGCATCAGATGGTGAAGCAGCAGAAGGTGGTTACTCATGAAAAGTCTCACTAGCATGATGAGAAGTGTCATCACCATTATCATCTAATGCAAGAAAAGGGGTGGCGGTAATCTGAAGTGGTGGAAGACGACAAGAGGATGCTCCAGCTACTGAAGATGATTGGGTTGAGTAACTCCTAAAATTACCGGTGGCACTATTTCCATCAAAAAGACGAGCACAAATATCTGGAAAAGGCAGTGGCATTGTTTTCAACGAAAGCAGCCTTTGGATGCCCCTAAACCCAAATATAACAAAAAATAGTGTAAGAATATTTGGCAACTTCAAACGTAAATGTTTAAAAGTGTTTGTTTGAGATTGTACCTTCTTAAAACCATCCCACTCCTCGACGACTGTTAAGTTAAAAGTGTTTGTTTGGGAATTGTATATATTACCAATTTTGTTTTTTAAATATACCCATCTTGTGTATTTGGCTTTCAGATTGTCATATGCATTTTTCATTTGTTTTTGACTCAAGTCAATGCCAAATTTTTCCTTAAGAACTCTTCCAAGCCTTATCCATGAATCTTTCTGCAAACTCAATCCCTTTTCTACCAACACTCTCTACTTCTTCAATACAAGTATCCACTAAGCATTTTAATTGCTCATTGGTCCATTGATGTTTATCTCCCATTTCTAATAACCAATATAGCATTCACAATAAACAGTCAACAACTAACGCTTTTCAACAACAATTTTTAGCACATTCAACAACAATTTGAAAACAACAATAAGTATTTTCAGCCTCCTATTTCCACAAAAAAAAATTTAGCATATTCAGGCAAACAACAAACAACAATCTAACAGCAATCTTAGCAAAAAAAAAAAAAACAATCAAACAACAATTTCAACAAATTAGAATTTTCATCAAGACAAAACTTGATTTCAACAACTAAGGGAACATCAGATTTAGCTTTGAATTTGATGAAGTTATGTTATATATATTATAGCCACTGAAATATTTGTAATTGTGCGTATAATCCCCTGGCAAAAGCAAACCTAAATTATACTGCTCAAGCACTCATTATATCTGCTGGTATGCTCCAAATTTTAAACTTTTCAATTGATTTTATATAGATATAGTATGATTTTATAAAGATTCTTGTAGATGTGATTTGATTTTGATTTGATTATTGAAACAACATCCATTGCTGCATACTTTATCACTGCTGAAAAAACTATATAGGAGTGTGCAAAGAAAAAACACACGCACCCTTTATGATAAATCCTCTTAATAAATCAAACAACAAGTTGAATTGAAATTGGATTCAAAGAGACAGGAGGCGACGGCATACCTGTTTGTTCGCTGCAATCGAGAAGTGAAGCTTGCTGTTCGGAGGTGACGACCGTAGATGCGATCGGAGAGGAGGGTAGCGACGGGCGGTGCGGCAACAGATCGGAGGTGATGGTCGGTCGACGAAGGTTGCTGGAGTGAAGATCGGACGTGTTGGAATTGTCGAGCTATGTGTACGAAGACAGGAGGTTTGGACGAATGGAGGCGGAAACAAAAAAAACGCGTGTCTTTTTTTAGGTCAAAGGAACTTGGCAGAACTTAGAAGAGGTTGGCCCTTATCTGTGTGGTGAAGACCTCACGCAGACATTTTTATGTCTGCGCACTTCAGAAAAACAAACACACTTGAAACCTATAAGTCTGCGCGTGGTCTGCGCTGCGCAGACAAAAGACCTCCCGCAGATCTGCAGAGAAAAAACAAACACCCCCTAAGTCACCCTTCGCTGGTACGTGCGAAAGGGGTGAGGGTCTATTGGACCTCATACATACCGATGTATGTGGACCGTTTAGATCTACCACAAGGATGGTAACCGCTTCTACGTGACTTTTACCGATGACTATAGTAGATATGGGTATATCTACTTAATCAAGCAAAAGTCAGAAACTTTTGAAAAGTTCAAAGAGTTTAAGAATGAAGTGGAGAATCAATTGGGCAGGAAGATCAAGATGCTTCGATCCGATCGAGGAGGAGAGTACCTAAGTCTTGAATTCCACGATTATCTCAAGGAGTGTGGAATAGTTTCACAATTGACGCCACCTAGGACACCACAATTGAATGGTGTGGCAGAAAGGCGTAATCGAACCTTGTTGGACATGGTTCGCTCTATGATGAGTCGTGCTTCACTATCTATCTCTTTTTGGGGGTATGCCTTAGAGACTGCCGCCCATATCCTTAACCGAGTCCCTACTAAGAAGGTTGCCAAAACACCTCACGAGATGTGGACGGGGAAAGCTCCTTCGTTAGCACATATCAAGGTTTGGGGTTGCGAGGCTTTCGTAAGACGAGATACTCACGACAAGCTCGAACCTCGTAGTGAGCGATGTATTTTCATCGGCTACCCGCAGAAATCCTTTGGATATCTCTTCTATAGACCGAAGGACAATGTTGTCTTTGTTGCGAGGAGAGGAGTTTTCCGAGAGCGAGAACTCATAGGCCAAGGAGACAGTGGGAGGCAAATCGATCTTGAAGAGATTCAAGAGTCGATAGATGAAGGAACCTCTACCGCTGGCGCTCAACCCGAGGAGGAAACTCCGGTTGAACCAATTGACATATCATTACCTCTTAGACGTTCCGAAAGAGTTAGGTTTCAACCCCAGTTGTATGGTTTTCATATTACTACCGAAGGGGACACGTATATTAGTGATAGTACACTAATAAACCTTGATGAACCTAATAGCTATAAGGAAGCCATGGCAGGCCCGGAGTCTGCGAAATGGAAAGAGGCAATGGATAGCGAGATCCAATCCATGTATGATAACCAAGTTTGGAATTTGGTTGATAATGTGCCCGGACGTAAGACCGTTGGGTGCAAATGGATCTTCAAGAAGAAGACCGACGTGGATGGAAAGGTACACACGTTTAAAGGCGATTAGTTGCGAAGGGCTTTACTCAAACTCCCGGAGTTGACTATGAAGAGACCTTCTCACCAGTTGCGAAGATAAAATCTATTAGAGTGATGCTAGCTATTGCCGCATTTCATGATTATGAGATTTGGCAAATGGATGTCAAGACCGCTTTCCTTAACGGAAGTTGGCTGAGGATGTTTACATGGCTCAGCCAGAGGGGTTTGTGGATCCGAAGCATCCGAATAGAGTGTGTAAGCTTGAGAAGTCCATTTATGGACTAAAGCAAGCGTCTCGCAGATGGAATCTTTGCTTCGATGAGAAAGTCAAAGAGTTTGGATTTGTACGAAGCGAAGATGAATCGTGTGTATATGTCAAAGCCAGTGGGAGTGTAGTAAGCTTTCTCGTTCTATATGTCGATGACATATTACTCATAGGAAACGACGTCCCGACTCTGCAGGAAGTTAAGTCCTGGCTCGGGAAGTGCTTCGCTATGAAGGACCTCGGAGAGGCTTCCTATATTTTGGGAATAAGGATAGTAAGAGAGAAGAAGTAAGAGACTAATAGGACTTAGTCAGAACACTTACTTAGAGAAGGTACTAAAACGTTTTAGTATGGAAAACTCGAAGAAGGGAGAATTACCGATACAAAGCAATGCCAAGTTGAGTAAGACTCAAAGTCCGAGTACCGAAGCCGAGATAGCTGAAATGAGCCGAGTTCCATACGCTTCCGCAGTTGGCTCAATCATGTACGCTATGACTTGTACTCGCCCTGATGTAGCCTTTGCTTTGAGCATGGTTAGTAGATATCAAGGGAATCCAGGCAGAGCCCATTGGGTTGCGGTGAAGAATATCCTTAAGTACCTTCGGAGGACGAAGGAATGGTTCTTAGTCCTTGGAGGGAGTGATGACTTGAAGGTGCGAGGGTATAGTGACGCCAGTTTTCAGACCGACAGGGACAACTACCGTTCGCAGTCAGATTGGGTCTTTATCCTGAATTGAGGAGCAGTAACTTGGATGAGTTCCAAGCAGGAAACCGTAGCTGATTCAACGTGCGAATCAGAGTACATTGCAGCGAGCGAAGCGTCGAAGGAGGCAATATGGCTAAAGAACTTCATTGGTGATCTTGGAGTTGTACCTGCCATAAAGGAGCCCATGGAGATTTTCTGTGATAATGAAGGTGCGGTTGCCTTGACCAAGGAACCGAGAGATCATGGTAGATCACGACATATCGATAGAAAATATCACTTTATTAGACATCGTGTAGAAGAAGGACAACTCGTAGTGAAGAGGATATCATCAGAAGATAACCCAGCAGATCCGCTTACGAAGGGACTGAGTAGGGTTAAGCATTTGCAGCATGCTAGGAGTATTGGGCTGAAGGATGATATTAGCATAGATTAGATAGTATTAGAAACGTGTAATAGATAAATGTAATTAACATTTGATGATTAAATAAAGGAGTTTTATTTATAAGTAATGTTACTGTATTATGTTAATTGTTTAACTATTGTTTCACTTTGCATGTTTTGACTTCCAGAATAATTGAGTTTATTAAGAATAATCGAATTGTTCAAATAGTCCACAATCGTTCATATGTCGGAAGTAGATATGAATGAAGATTGTCATGAATAGGTGTGTAGAGTGTCTAAATGGTGTTAGACATAGCAAAAGATTGTTGCAACGTTCATGAGTGCTTATGAACTAGTTTGAGCATTGGAACAAACCGCGCTTGCTGGAATCACCTTATGGAATGATAGTAAAAGGGATCGCAAGACGATAATATCATATAGTCTTAAAACCTAGATATATGGTTTGTTATTGGTTAATTGATTGTACATTGATAATGCGAAAACGCATTGGTAACTCGATGTTATAAAACGCATTGTTGTGTGTAGTTGGTTAATGAATAAGTAAATGCATATAAGTCGAAGTTTATCTGTAACTTTTATCCTAAGAAGGAAAAAGTGATATCTCGGCCGCTCGATGATTTGATTTGACTTATGTGCCGGGCCCGGTCAGAACTGAATTGATGTGTTCAATTAAGTTCTATGTCAAATAAATCGGAGATCAAGAAACCAAACGCTAGACTAACTATTCCATAGTATTGCCAGCATGATATCTAACAAAGAACTGTACGATCCCTTATCTGAAGGACAAGATTGATTAGATCAGAGTTTGACAGCGTCTTTGAGAGCTACGATTGCAAATCGGAATGTGCCTGTGCATATAGTTACTAGACTCATCCAAGTGGGAGACCGTTGGAATAGTGTCTAAGGCTGCAACTATATTAGGCAAGTATTAGACCCGATTGTGCATGGTCCTTTTGGGTTGCCTTCACCATAGCAACTTGG